AAACAAGAGCCTCCCACACAGCTACATCCCCAGCCCTTTTTTGTTTGTTGTTTTAAACTTTGAGACAGTGTCTTCCTAAGGTGCTGTGTTGTGGAGGGTGGGTTTGAACTTGCTATCCTCCTGCCTCAGTCTCCCTGAGTCTGGGATTGCAGGTGTGCACCACCACACATGGCTCAAAGCTCATACTCTTAAACCCAAGGTTGTGGCACTTCTGTAGAAATATGGGACAAACCAGGCGTGGCTCAATCCCAGCACACAGGAGGCTGAGGCAGGAGGGGGGTGAGTTTGAGCCCAGCCTGGGCTACATAGTGAGACCCCGTGGATGGAAGGGAGGAAGGGGAGGAGAGGAAGAGGAAGAGGAAAGGGGGGGGGGACAGGAAAGAGGGAGGGAAGGAAGCAAGCAGACAAACAGAAGGACAGGTAGACTGCATGGCAGAGGGTACAGAATATCAAAGCAAATTCTCCATGGAGAAAATGCCACGCAAACACTTTCTTTTGTCCTTAAATAACCCATCGTGGCTGTGTCATCCTTTTGAAAGTCAATGGGCAGCTTTTTCCAGTGATTATGATCATTTTATGCAATACATGAAACTAAACAGGATACTCAAGGACCGCTCAACCTTGGGCAGTAATAACAGTAGACTGCGTTGAGTGCCTACTCCTCAGCAAACTGTTTCCCACCTGCTCCCTGTCAGCTCAGAGTTAAGTGAGGCCTCACAAACTACCAAGTCTGAAGCTGAACTAATCCGAAAGGCCCTGGTTTCTACTCTGTAGCTCAATTACTCATTTCATGATCGCAGTGCAGTCTGCAGTGATCTTGACCAGTTTCACGATAACCTCCATCTGTATTTACCCTTGTCGGGACTGTTCGGCCAGGAAAAAAGCACACTCAGACTCTCGTGGGTTTTGCTGCAATAGGCCTGGGTGAGGCTCATGGTCTTGTCCATTTATGAAAAATGCAGGCGTTGCAAAAAGCATAGACTGGGAATTACAAGGATTAAAAGGGAAAGGTACTTTTTTTCAGTTTAATTGAGCATTGAAGATTATTTTCAATGATAACTCAAGGGGACAGGAGAGAGAAAAACAAGTTAAAACTGAGATCCTAAGAGATTCTCAGAAATAATTTGGCTGTTTTTGCAGCAGTCGTGATTGTGTGCACAGGAAAGGGAGGGAGGGAGGGAGGAAACAGAGGGAATCCTAAACACCAGGTGAGTTCAGTTGAACAAAAAGATTCTTAGCTACAAAACAGTCACCTCGGAGGAAGATAGAACAAAAAAGGAGGGTGTGTGGAAGGGCATACAGTGCACAGAGATTTGTGTTTCTCTCTCTGTTTTTTCCCCAGGGAAGAATTTTTATTGCCAGAATCAGAGCAATCTTTTCCATGCATGAGGCAATGAAGCCAAGTCCTGTACCAGTTTACTGCACTATCAGAAGGCCTTTCATCCTTCTGCTGTAGAAAAAAAAAAAAAAAAAAAAGAATTAAGACCAAAA